TAGATGTGTTGTTGTGCACAGGAACATCACACTGCTCTAAAGTTTCTGTCTCAGTTTTGTGTGTTTGCCTCGAGTGTTTATTGCCTCCTTTCTTATCTGATGCAGTATCTGCTGTAAAATGATGTTGCCACAGTTTTAATGGTCATGTGGAAAAAGAATCTGAATATAAATATAAAGTCTCATGCTCAGCTATGCAAACGTGGATGTATGGATATAAATCAATAATTCCTTGGATAGTAAGATAATCAGCAGGACTTGTCTCTGTTTCAATAGAGGGGGTTTTCAGCAGCGGGATTTAAAGTGATTAAAGTCATCTTTGAGGAAAATTTAAATAACTGGACAAAGTTAAGTAGTGTTTTTGGTTGAAATGCAAACCCCTTATTTTTATTTTTTTTTTACAAAAAATATACATCACTTCTTCATACATACATAAAATATGATTTTCAAAATACACCAACATATGTGTCAACACATGATCTAATGTGACAGTACAATAAATGCACATCATACAAATTCTTTCAAGAGGTGATCCTGAGTAAACGGGTGTTAATACTAAAGGTTTGTTAAAAAAGTTACTTTAGACCTCTAACACAGCGCGTCAGAACACAGCTGAATGTTACATTAGCAAACAACCTCTAAACAAAACAACAAAAAAACATGTTGGACTAAAAGTTTAAAATGTCCCATCATGTCATGGCACATGATTTATTTTTGAAGGTTGTGTGGTCCAGTACCTAAAAATAGTACTGATAAATAAAAAGAAAAAAAAGTAAAAATATCCCTTAAACATATTATATTCGTTAAAACATTTACTCATCTAACATTTATGGTGTTAAAATGTACCACATATGGGTGGGTATCCATCCATCCATCCATCCATCCATCCATCCATCTACCATCAATCTTTCTATTCATTTATCCATCTATAGATCTATCTATCTCTATCATCTATAGATCTATCTATCTCTATCATCTATAGATCTATATATTGCTATCATCTACAGATCTATATATTGCTATCATCTACAGATCTATATATTGCTATCATCTACAGATCTATATATTGCTATCATCTACAGATCTATCTCTCTCTCTACCCATCTATAGATCTATCCATCCATCTATAGATGGATGGATAGATCTAGATAGGGGAGGAGGGGGAGTACAGGGGCCTGGTGAAGGACTTTGTTGGGTGGTCCCATCAGAACCAACTTTTGCTGAATACCACTAAAACCAAAGAGGTGGTGTAGGATTTCCGCAGAGCTCCACCCTCTTTGCAGCCCATTGTTATTGAAGGATCGGAAATTGAGGTGGTCTCAACTAGGGATTGAACGAGTATATAATTTTTAAACTCGACATTAACATAATAAAACCCGAGTAGACCTAGAGTATTTGATGACGTCATACATCTCAAGATACAAAAATAAATAAATAAATAAAATCGCAAAAAAGGTAATTATTTACAAAAAAAAACAAAAAAAAAAACATTGGGAGCGTATATTATGCTCCTACCATTTATCATACTGCAAATAAGTCAAAGGAAAAACTAAACTATTAGTTTTATTATTAAACTGCAAACGTGAAGAAACATGCAGCACGTCAAAAACGAAACTTAAACCGAAATTGGTTCTGGTTCGGTGGATTGGACCCGGTGTTACACCATACTCTGTGACCTGCAACAATGCAACACCGCCCCCTACAGTCATACGGTGGTCACATAATATGACGTCACTACGGATACTCGATATTAAATTTTTAACCGCGATAGATGTCCTAGAAATCGATGTGTAGATTACTCGAGTACTCTGTTAATGCCCAAGTCTCAACCTATAAATATCTGGGTCTACAGATGGACACCAAGCTGAACTGGACTGCTAATATGGATGCTGTGTACAAGAAGGGGCTGAGCAGAATGTATTTTCTCAGAAGGCTGGCCTCTTTCAGGGTCTGTTCTAAGTTATTGCATATGTTCTACCAATCCATTGTGTCCAGTATACTTTCTTTTGGTGTTGTGTGTTGGGGAGGCAGCACTAGGAAGATGGACATCCGAAGGCTGAATAGGCTCATTAAGAAGGCGGGCTCTGTGGTGGGTCTGGGCCTTGACTCTGTAGAGAAGGTGGTGGAGCAGAGGACGCAGTCCAAGATCAGGGCGATCATGTCCAATCAGGGCACCCCTTGTACTCTGTCCTCTCTAACCAGCAAAGTTCATTGAGCTCCAGACTCCATTCACTGAGGTGTTCTACTGAGAGACTAAAGAACTCGTTTGTCCCTCGTGCCACCAGGCTGTATAATTCGGCCAATCCTAGCAGGAACCAGAGAAGCTAGCTGGTTTTTGTCCCCTAACATAGTTGCTGCTTTATCTCCTCTTGGGTTGCTTGTTTAATTATTATCAATCTTTTTTTAATAATAGGTTTTTATTATTATTTTTTTATTCTGGTGTTTTTATCTTGTTGTTTGTGTGTATGAGAGCTACAGATTGCCATGTAATTTCCGTCGGGATCAATAATGCATGTATGTATGTGTGGATGTATGATTGATCCATCCATCCATCCATCCATCCATCTTTCTATTCAGCTATCCATCTATAGATCTATCTATCTCTATCATCTATAGATCCATCCATCCATCCATCCATCCATCCATCCATCCAATCTTGTTGAATGAACCAAACTATTTTTGCCAAAAAATCCTGATGCATGCTCAATAATCCAAGTAGAAAAATTAAAAAAAGTTAAGTCTGGTCCTCTGGATATTCAAAAATCAAAACAAACGAAACAAACAAATAAAACAAACCAAAAAAAACAAAAATATATATAAAAAAAAAAAAAAATATATATATATATATATATATATATATATATATATATTTGCCAAGTTTTATAACATAAGTCCTATTATAGGCCAGTCTAAATTATTATATATTTCACAGAGCACTGGACGAGTTTTAATGAAACTCTTAGAAAACACCAACTGATTGTTTTGTTTATCTTGTCATCTTCATCTACAACTGATGAACGCTAAAAGTCAGTCCATACAAAGATGGCTTAAACAGCTCATTGACAAACACCAAAATGGCTCCAACCCCTTATTTTTACAGATACTGGGATACATTTTGATGTGGTGGCAGCACGGTGGCGCAACTGGTAGAGCTGCTGCCTCTCAGCGAGCAGGTCCCTGGTTTAAATCCCGGTCCGGGGGCCTTTCTGGGTGGAGTTTGCATGTTCTCTCCGTGCATGCGTGGGTTTTCTCTGGGTACTCCGGTTTCCTCCCACAGACCAAAAACATGCATGTTAGGCTGATTGGTAACTCTAAATTGTCCCTAGGTGTGAGTGAGAGAGTGAATGGTTGTTTGTCTCGTTTGTCTCTATGTGTCCCTGTGATGGACTTGCGACCCGTCCAGGGTGTACCCCGCCCCTCGCACAGTGATTGCTGGACATGGGCACTGGCGACCCCCGTGACCCAAAATGGAATAAACGGGTAAAGATAATGGATGGATGGATTTTGATGTGGTACAAGCTGAGAACAGAAAATGCAACAGCTTTGTTAAGAATTTTATCATGCTGGGCAGCGGGCAATATGCATTCCTTCAATTTTAATTTAGATACATTTTATTCATTAAACAAAAATATGGTTTAAACAAGATCAAATTTATTGTCACTGTATCGTCTTATTCACATTGTGTACAATTAAATAAATCTGACAATGCCCTAAAGGTACCAAACACAGAAAAAATTAACAGACCCCCACAAACAAACAAACAAACAAACAAACAAACAAACAATAAATAAATAAAATCAGCCTTTGGCAAAATTTAAAATCAGCTCCAATCTCTAAATCATACTGACTGAGTCAAGACATAATATATTTTGACAACATAGCTGCTTCTTCAGAAAATGTATTTGTTTCCATGTTAATTTTGACTGTGCTGTCTTGGCATGTTACATTAAGGATAATGCAGACAACCGATGTTAGTAGGAATGTGTAAAATATTAAATATGGACGAGAATAACTGGCATAAAATAAATAAAACCACCAAATGGGCAGATGAATTGTTGAATACAGAAACAAAACTGCTACTGGATTCCCCACCTTTCTTTAGACGGCAGCAGTGAGTTATTAGCGCCTTTTTGGCTTTTGTCAGTCTTTATACTGCGTAGCTTTAATGTTCCCGTACAACTGGGACACATATTGTTGCGAACGATCTCCTGCCAGGTTTGGCCAGCGTCAACTCTTGGCCTCGTCTCCACATTTAATACATGGAAATATAATGAATGCACGCTCCTAATAAGCAAGGAGAGCCAAGTGGCACAAGGACAAAGCAAACAGAGCTAATCCCTGTCACAGCCTCCTGATTACCTGCTCCAGCTTCCATTCTTTCCCGTTCGGCTTTTTCTTTCCCCAACCATGCAAATTTGGAAGCGTCACGTCTGCCACAACGTCTTACCTTATCAACAAAGCTAGCATGGTAACCTCGCGCAATCTCTTCATTTCAAATTACAAGGAGTGTTATGAAAATGACTTCTGGAAGTGCTGGAGTTTTTTTTTTTTTCTCGCTGACTCCAACATACAGACTGAAAAATGTGCACAGGATGCAGGAGTGAAAATGCTGTGAATGGACAATTGTAGCTGCGGTGTGCTGCACAATGCAAATGAATTCAGCAGTCAGTGGAATTTGGTGCAGGGAGACTTCATATTGATGGGAGGACTAACTCAGTTTTGTATTTGCCTTTATTTATTTTTTGCCTATTTGAGAGCAAATTTAGAACAAGGGTTGGTTTATTTCTCTCCTGCAGTAGGCAGACTGGCACCATTACAGGTCACTTAATTTGACAAACTGACAATGACAGCTGAATATATTTGCTTCTAATAGTGTTTGTTAGATCATCATTTGCTCTGGAGCAGTACGCCTGATTGATAATTATTCTAAGAGACACCAACAGGGGACGTGAAGACTTGGAGGGAAGAGAAAGGGTGATAGAAAACAAGGTATGTTGTTGTACCTGACTTCAGGAAGAAGGCTGAGAAGAAGGAGCAACACCCTCAAGATCAGGTCCTGGGATTTCTTTTTCCACAACCAAGTGGCCATGTTGCTTCAGACAAGAGGAACCTGTAGAGAAACGGAAGAGGCAGAGAGAAACAGCGTCATTATTACGCTGAAAAACAGCTTTGGGTTGGATGACAAACATTAAAAGTTCATAACAAGTAGTAATAGAATAATGAAGTTTTAGAAAAGCTGCAAATACATCAGAGCATCCTTCTTACTATTCTTTTAACAAGAGGCACACTGGTGTCGCCCGTCGATGAGGGATGTAAATAGAGAATGTTTGTAGTTTTAAAGATGAGTGTTTTTATGGACTGGAATTGAACAGGGAATGTAAGTTAACCTGACTGTTTTCAGTAGGGATGCACAATATTACTGGCATGGTATCGGCCGATATTAGCGTTAAAGTTAAATATCGGACATCGGCCATTCCATCTAAATAACTCACCGATATAAAAGGCGCTGTTTTGTATGACAACCCAGTGACAAGGATGACTGCAGCACCAGCACAACGTGATGACGTAACGCGCGCCTAATTGATCTGATCACGTCACTAGAGGTAGGTTTATTTTATTTTGCTTGTTGAAGCAGTGCAGTGTGACAGATCCTGGCGAATGGAGGGAACAATTTAATCCACCAACAGGTGCAATGGTGGAGCCAGGGGGTAGCCAATGGTGGCTACCTTCATCCACCCCAATCATGAGGAAACTACACTTTAAATCAATACAACTAAAAAACATGGCTTTCATTGGCCATATGTGGCCAGTTTACATACACACACACATATATACATATATATGGTAGTGGCTATCTTTGATTTTGGCGTGACAATCCAATTTTCGTTAGTGACCTTTCTTATGTCTAGATGCAGCCACACAGCAAAATGAAAGTCGGTACCTTCATTAATTTTTGATTAATCTTTTCAACAAGCTGAAATGGACAGGTGGATGGAAGGTATTTCCATGGTTGTGTATTGCTCCACAACTGTTGAACAAAATATTCACAGTAGTCCCTCGTTTATCATGGGGGAGCTGTACCCTGAAGACCCACGATAAGTGACAACCCGCGATGTAGAAATAGTAGTACAAGTAGTAGTTTATTATATATATATATATATATATATACTGTATATGTATAAAGGCGTTTTAAACCCTTCCCCACTCTTGCAATATTCTAAACAATGTTTCTAAACTATAAACACTCTAATTGAGCACAGAATGTCATGATTTCCTTCTCTCTGCCTCCGTGATCTTTGCCACCTGCAAGCGCTCTTGGCCACGCCCACTTCTCCACTCTACACAGAGAACAGCTGATTAGCTGCAGTAGGAAGTTTATCCTGCAGTGTATGCTGCACAAAGGTGCAGAAGCAACTAAATAGTTTAAAATAATTAATTTTAAATAAAAAATCCATTCCGATCGCGTGGCTCATGCATCAGTTTGCCAATTGTGTGTCATGTCCAATCATATTTTGAAAAACCACGATATAACGAGTCCACGAAAAACGAACTGCGAAGTAGCTAGGACTACGGTATTTTGATACTCAGACAAAATGTGCAAAACTCAGCAAGAAATTTAAAAAAACACTCTCAATAGATCTAAAAGTAAAATCAGGTCCGCTGGACAGATTCTTCTTGTTGAAATGTTTCGTCTTTTATCCAAAACACTTCATCCAAGGAGGGACGTTATCCAAGTCATCCAGTACTTTTATCCAAGAGACAATAGTTTTGGAAAAACACATAAGAAAACCCAGTACACTTTAGAGCTCTACGGTTCAGCGAACTTAACAGTAGAAAAGTTTAAAGAGGCACATAAAGTCAAATAAAACTAGAATTTTGACATATTTTACAGTTTTTACTCAATCACAGTTTAGGTTTTATGATATTATACAGAATTTTCAATTGATAATAAAGATGTTACACAATAACATTTGTCATCTACAAATTTGGAAAAAAAACCTCTTCTTACTCCCACAAATTTTTAAAATACCTAAGCAAATTATACTTCAAATTGTAGATACTTGGCTTTGATTTCTTGTCTTGTCTTCTTTTAAATTCATTTGTCTTAATTTCCTCTGAACACAGGCAGCTTCCACTCATTCAGTTACATTTTTAACTTGTATCGCTGTAGTGGACTAGGCCCATGTCAAAACTGACCAGATGGACAGAGACTGTTATTTCATTGATCTGCATCCAGAAATACAGTTTGAGCCATCTGGAGACTTTCTTTCTTGAAGTAATCAAGTAGAAAAGACAATTCTCTATGATCATTGCCACATTTAAATGAGTTGACTTCCGGGTCATTTTAGAGCTTTCTGATTGGTGGATGGACCAGATCAGAGGTGTGGTTTGTGATGTAAGGTGTTATCAAAGTCAAGGGCAGAGAATGAGATTACTTAAAACAGACAGAAAGATTATTGGAGAAAACAAGACTTCGTGGAGCCTCTACTCTGATTATCTGCTGTAAAGATTAAACATGACATTTCTTCTCAGTAAACATTTTAGTTGACCGAAGCCTGAACTTTAACATACTTACAAATTTGCTCATTGAAGACAGAAAAATCAAGAAATGCATATTAACCTGATTTCTTCTTTGAATGAGGAATAAAAATCATTACTTACTGTTTATGTAAATAAAATGAGTAGTTCTCTTCAACCTGTAAACATTGAGTGAACTAACACAATTTGATTATCAAACATTTGTAAAATAGTAATGATCATAGAGAATTGTCTTTTCTACTTGATTACTTCAAGAAAGAAAGTCTCCAGATGGCTCAAACTGTATTTCTGGATGCAGATCAATGAAATAACAGTCTCTGTCCATCTGGTCAGTTTTGACATGGGCCTAGTCCACTACATCGCCAACATAAAACACAGCAGCCGTAAAATAAACCATAAGTGACTCACACTCTTCTGGTGCTCATGGTTGATATACGTCTTGAATTACAAATATAGCTTTTGCACAAAGACTGTTTGAGAGTCATTTTCAGTCTGCATTTCTGTCTGCTTCTTGTAAGAGTGCTATCAGGGAGTGACAGACAGATGTGTGGTTACTATAGTGACCACAAAGACCCACTTACAGCAGCTTGAATGCATCTCTTGAACTGTTATCTTTACACTTCCTTCTTTTAGCTCAGGTAATGACGTTTGGTTGGGAGTTTAAGCAAAAGCTGCATTAGCCCCCCTCAAAATAATTTCAGAAATTATTATATTCATTTTGGTTTTTAATTTGTTGAATTAAATGCATTCCTATTCCCAATCTCACCTCAGTCATACACATTTATACAATATGATTTTGTGATTTTCACAACAACATAAATCACATCGTTTCACGAGAGACACAAATCAAAAGAAAGATTTGGGTCCAAGTCAACTTTACGAGGATTGAAGAAAACCATAAAGTTTAATTGAAGTTAAAGGAAGTTGATCTGAGCAGGAGAGCAGAGGGACAGTATTTTGTTTTTCTAAGCAGCTCAGCAGACCCATGACCTGGACTACAAAGCAGGATTAATGGCTTTCTGAGGTAACTTCAGATCAGTTTGGGATTTTCAATATAAAAAAGCTGGTTCGCATTTCAACTGGAGACATAATCTGTCCGAGAGCAGGTTAGCTTTCTGGATTAGTAGTCGATACACAACCACTCTCTTTCCTTAAGAAGAAAAATCCCACCTGTGTGTGTGAGAGTGGGAATATTCCCTCTCCTTAAGACCCACTGTTTGATGTTGTGAAAAATCTTCCAAGTGAGACCTTATCTAAGCACATGACAAAAAACACATTAGTCCTTAACTTATAGGATTCTTCAGGATTTAATCAAACAAACGGTACTCCCATGTGCTCAGTTGCTGAGATTTGAATAGTGAATGTTAGCAGCTTTGAATACAAGTGCTTTTCCGTAAACCTTAATGTTTTTGGTGCAAGATATTCAACTGGGCAGGAGTTACACTGTGTATAGAAATAAAGGTAGTGGGGTTTTTTTTTTTTTTGGGGGGGGGGGGGGGGGGCTTTGGGTGGCCTTGTCTGAGGTGACACAGAGTGACAGATCCTGGATATATATTTATATATAAAACTAAAAAGTAATTTCCTCCAGGCTGGAGAGACTGTCTCTCGGTTGGCCTGGGAATGCCTTGGAATCCTCCCAGAAGAGCTGGAAGAGGTGACTGTGGAAAGAGACGTCTGGGTTTCCCTGCTCAAGCTGCTGCCCCATGACCCAACTTCGAAATAAGCGGAAGATAATGGATGGATGGATGGATGGAAGGTCTCTTGTAAATGAGTCCTTGTTACTCAGTGACTAACCTATATAAATAAAGGTTGAATGAATATTGGTGTCTGACTGCATCTAGACATGAGAAAGATCTCTCCCGAAAAGTTGCTTGCCTATAAAATCCAAGCAGGCCATCACCATATCTAAACTGGCCACCCTAATTATTGTCCTGGGTCTCCCTGAATTAGCGCTCCATTGACAAAGAATGTGCTTTTTGTATTCTAAATCATAATAATAGTAACAGTAATATTGTGTATGTTGTTCAGTGTCAGGAGGGCTGTGATCAGTCTTGCATCGAGGAAACTAAACAGCCACTGGCCAAAAGGTTGGCCCAGCACAAAAGAGCAACATAATCAGGCCAGGACTGCGGTCTACACTCATCTCCAGGCCAGCGGTCACTCTTTCAGGGATGAAGATGTTCACATCATGATAGAGAGGAACGATGGTTTGAGAGAGGAGTAAAGGAGGCCATCTTTGTGAAAAGAAATCGTTCATCATTGGAGATGGAGGCCTCCGTGTTCAACTGTCCCCTTCTTACAATGCTGTGATTGCTAGTATCACTCAGCCCCCTGTGAATAGCAAACAGCCATCAGGGTGCTAATGATCCATCGTTAGGCTGATGGTCCTCCTTGATCATGTGAGTAGCTGGTTTTGGCTGTCAGCAACAAACTGGTTGATCCACTGCAAGAAGGTGCTATTTATAAGACTGAGCTGAATACAGCACCTCAGACTGAGGCAGTCTTTTGGATGAAAGACAAAACGTTTCTACAATAAAAAAAATTAATAAAAAAAATTAATGTCCAGAGGAC